CTTCTAGAGGAAGAAAACAAAGAATCAACATATATAAATTTTAAAAATCCTTTCATGTTGTGATATGTTATGAAAAAAATAAAATGAGATGAAGGAAAGGAAATGACTATTTAGAAAAGGTTCCAAGGAAAGAGTCTCTAAGAGGAAAACATTGAAGCTGAAACTTGAATAATATAAAGGAGACACTAACGAGAAGAATTGGGGTAAGAACATTTCAGAGAATATGAACAAAAGTGAAAAGTCCCTGATTTGGGAAAGAGTTTGGCATCTTCTAGGAACAGAAAAGTCCTCAAATATCACACACAGTGAGAGAAAAGGTGATAGAAGACCAGGTAAAAGGGATGGAAAGAGACTAAATTTTGTAGAAACTTATAGGCCTTGATAAAATATTTTGAATTTGTTCTAAGTGCTTAGGAAAGATTTTAAGTAGGAGAATAATCATATTAGACATATGTCCAAAAATAACATTTTTATTACTATGTGAAGAATGATTGTAAGGTGATAAGAGTGAAATCAGTGATACCAGAAATCGAACTATTGGGATGGTCAGGTGTGAGATGTCAGTAGATGGGACTGACAAGTGCAATAAAGGTAAGACTAGAAAGTGGTGGCAGATTCAGGGTGTACTGTTAAGATAGAGCTTATAATTCTTCTAATGAATTGCTAGAGAAGAGGGGACAAAATATGACTCATAGGATTTTCTCTTGAGCCATGGGGAGTTATCATTGGTGGCAGAGGAAAAGACTACTAGAGGACTTGGTTGAGAAAAAGGATTTGTTTGGAGATCAGTATTTTACCTTGTTCATGATAAATTGGTGGTGTCTATTTCATATATAAATGGAGATGTTAAAACAACTGTTAGATACCTGAATCTGTAGTTCAGTGAAGTTAACAAAATATAGACAATATTTAAGACTATAGAAATCAAGTAGGTAAATGATAATGATACTCAACATAGAGAAGGGAAAAAAGTTAAAGGTGTAGTGAGCTCAGAAAGAATCCTTGAAGTTTTCCCAAATTGAAAGTTTGAGGAAAATAGGAGGAACCAAAAGAAAAATTAAGAGTAGCCAGATTTGAGAGGAAAAACCAAAAGAAAAGTCATTACAAGTGTGAAAGACCAATCACCATGTCAAAGGTTGCTGAGATTAAGATCTAAACAGTAGCATTGGGTTTGGACACATGGAGATCATAATTGACCTGGCTATTTATTTTGAATGGTATGAGAGGAATAAAAGACCTTTTGGAGTAAATACAAGAAAGTACAGAGTGTCCTAATGTTCATAACAGATAAATAATGCATTATGCAAATTAAAAGTTTTCTTGATTACATGTATTTTTATAATCTGTGTCCTTATAATGGATCCAGAAACCCTGGGATTCTAAAAGTTACTAAAGCATAAATTTATATATGGGATGATGCTACATTCCTAATTCTAGGCTCCAGATAATGTGAAATGTCTCCTCACAGCCTCAAAGAGTCTTCCTATCAATGTCCAGCAAAAAGCATTATCTTTTTTACGTACTCTCTGCAAGGAGAGATTGTAACTGTTTACCATATTTTTCAAAGTGCCTTGTTTTTAATAAAAACTGTATGTGTGTGTGCATTGTTTACTTAATTGAATTATTTATAGGAGAGCAAAATTATGACATTCCATTTTGCTAGTGTT